TGATTATTCAGGTGACTATAGTGAGGCATAAGGTTACGTCTAAGTTTTTTCTATGTATTGGATATTCAACGACTTTAAATAATTTCACCGGTCAGAGACGTGTGAACACTATTGAAAGTAAAAGTAAATTGTGGAAATGCAAAATAATGAGCAAGCTAGATTTAAATCTGAAAGACAAACATAACAATAGACTTAACATTAAATGAAAATATTAAAAGATCATCGGAGTGATGTGTTACAGGAAAACATAAAAGTTACTCGAAAGCAAGTATTGAGTAAAAAATAAGTTGGCTCTGTGAAGAGTATTTGTGATTTGATTGTGGGATCACTTTTTGGTAGCTTAGTCTCTACAATTTATAGGATGACTCTCAATCGTTGATTCATCTTTTTTGACCATGACTTGTGATCAAAGATCTATCCCTTGAGATACGTGAATGTAAGTCGAACCGTTTTCAACTGGCAGCTCATGATATCTTGTTTCGCAATTTCTCGAGATTTCAAAAGTCATATTCCTCTAACTGTCCAGTCAATTGTGAACTCTCACTGACTCTCTTATTTTGAATTCAAAGGGTTTTTACCCTTTTACCATTTGATGACTTTAATCAATGATCATTATTAAACTACTGACTTATGGTCTAATGGTATTCCTTGACTTGTGAAAATTTTGCTTTCTTGAGGTCAAATGTTCAAGTCCCCTTTTCTCCCCCCAAAAAATAAGACTAATATTTTTTGGGCCTAAAAATCTGACTCAATTTGTTGATTTAATGATGTGACTTCATTGAAACTATTGATTCAACATCAAGTTCCAATGTTTGATAGGATTCACAGTCAATCCAAAAGTTATAATAAATTAAGTCAGTAAATTAAATTCCAATAACATTGCTAAAAAAAAAAAACCAAATCAAGGGTCATTACATAGTTGCCACACTTGGTGCTGTGTCCCGTGTATTTGAAACTGTAAGTTCTTACCAAAGCTTATTAGCATGGAGGTTTAAAAGCCTCGATAAGTCGCGAGTCAACCATAGCACTCAAAGTCTAAAACTGGCAATTGCATAAAAATACTCTCTCTCTCTCTCTCTCAAAGTCTAAAGTTGGCAATTACATAATTCATGTGCATATCTATCCATAAAAGTAGTCCATCGACTGTACAGAGACATGCATCTTGAAAACTCAGTTTTGGATGTCTTGGATTCTTCGTTTTTTTTCATGGTCGTCCGTTATAAGGAAATGTAACATTTAGGATAAATAAATATCTTAAATTATGGCTCATTTTTAAAATGTCCATTCAAAATTTTAATTATTTCATTATGTAGAGACTAGCAATAATCTCTTTTCTGTCTAATTTTTTTGTTACAACAAACCAAATGACCCATAAAATTCATTTTGTTTTGCAACTTTAACTTTATTATTTTCTGGTTTATTAGTTCATTTTAACACTCATTGAACTGAAGAAATTAATTGTCATGCCTTGCATAGTTTAAGGGTTAGCCACCTTTTTTTATTAGGGGATATGTTTTTAAACTCTCTCGAGTTACGATAGCCAGTATCCGAGCTCAAGAGAGTAATCGGCGCAACCCTAAACACCCTATAGTAAAAAAAAGAATACATAATTTAAGGACTAGACTAAGACTAGGAGAAATTAAAAAAAAAACATATAGTTTGAGAGTCATTTATGTTATTGTTTGGCGTATTTTTAGATTACGGGCGTGCCAAGTTCAGGTGAACTTAAAATCCAAACACGTCCACTTTAACTATTCAAACCAACATTGGGTTCTAAAAATTGTGATTATTCAGGTGACTATAGCAAGCCTTAAGGTTACTTCTATGTTCTTTTCTATGCATTGGAGATTCAATGACTTTAAATAATTTCACCGGTCAGAGACGTGTGAACACTACTGAAAGTAAAAATAAATTCTGAAAGACGAACATAACAGTGGACTTAGCATTAAATGAAAGTAATAAAAGATCATTGAAGTTATGTGTTACAGGGAAACATAAAGGTTACTCGAAAGCAAATATTGAGTAAAAGATAGGTTGGCTCTGTGAAGAGTGTTTGTGATTTGATTGTGGGATCACTTTTTGGTAGCTTAGTCTCTGCTATTTATAGGGATGGCTGTCAACCGTTGATCCATCTTTTTGGCCATGACTTGTGATCATGGCCCTGTCCCTATCCCTTGAGATACATGACTATAAGTTGAACTGTTTTCAACTGGTAGCTCATGATGTCTTGTTTCTCAATTTCTAGAGATTTCAAGAGACATATTCCTCTAACTGTCCAGTCAATTGTGAACTATCATCGACTCTCTTATGACTGTTGAATTCTTTCCACATGTCACCTTTAGATTTTGCTATTTTTGGGTGTAAACATTGCCCCCCCCCCCTAAAAAAAATGATGTCGTTGAATACTCTACATTCGGGGCGTCGTTTTGGCTCCTTTGAATTTAAACATTTACTGCTACACAAGCCTTGCTTAACTGTTGTACCACCATTGGTCGTAATGGTTCGAGGACTGCAGCTAATGCTCCACATGTAGTCCTTCAGTCTTTCCTTAATCTTTTCAGATTTGCAATAAATGGTTGGCATGCGATTCATCCATATCTTCTTAATCATTATTTCAACATGTTTTCTGTGCCTATATAATCAGCTTCCAGACCCAGTATTTTGTCATTACTCTGACTTTCTTCCTTCTTCTTCAACAATGGAGACTCATCATGTTGCTGCTCTTGAAGTGGCTCTTTCTTATGTGCAATCTACTTAGTACTCTCTTTATACTTTCAATCCAATTTTCGATTCTTCTTCAACACTAGAGATGACCCTTGGGCCTACCTTTTACAAAGATGCCTCCAGATGAAGTGTGGAGTATCTATCCTGACTCTCATATGTCCCTACCCTTCAACTTCAAGGAACCTCTCCAAAGGACAAACTAGCTTAGCAGCAATGCAGTTCGTGCATGGAAAGCCCCTTCCACAGATTGGATTTTGTGGGTGACTTGTGTTACAACAATCAAAGCTTCTCTATGGCGTCGTCTTGGAATTTATGATGTCATAGAATTGAGTAATATTTCAATACCTATCGACAAGTCTCTACTCAGCACCACTCTCTTATATTGGTCCATGGCAAATAATGCCTTCCATTTTTTCGCTTTGGCATGATGGCCCCGTGATATATAATATTTCTGCCCTCCTCAGTCTTCCTCTTTTTGGGATTGAGGCTAATGTTCTGCTTATGCATATGGAAGCAAATTACGTGTTTCCACTTGATGTTCATAGCAAGCCAATCACTGCCTATTCTTATTTTCTTATGGTCTATCATGGCCGTGATGGCTCCCCTGTGTCAGATCAAGAACACATCTTGTTCTTGATTTATTGGCTTCACAAGTTCTTTTTTTACACCCCCATCTTACAAGATAACCAAGGAGTTTATCCCATTGGCCACCTTCTTGGCCATGGGATCTTTTTATGCTCTTGCCCCTATCATGCTTGCCCATCTCTATTATGGAATATGGGAAAGGTGGCATCAAAGATGTAGAGGGGTTCAAGTCCTCAGTGGGTACTTTAGCTATGGCTTCATGCTTATTTCTCAAAGCTCTCTATTCCACTTGCTAATAGCTCCTTCTATTCTTATGGTTGTCTATTTGTCATGGCCCCTTCTAGGGAATAGTCATTTGCTGACTACTTCTCTTATCTGTATAATCTGAATGGCGCACGGCCTATTTGGATGTCGTTTGCCCGGGCTCGAGGCCCTAAATGGTTCTTTTATAATCCCGAGGAGGCCCCTATTGATGCCTCTACTTCTTATGAGGATGAATTGTTCTTCTATCTCCACCCTCGAGACCTTTATTGCGGCCTGGAGGTAACTCATGGTGATAATGCTCATTGCGGAGTTGAAATCTACACGCCGTAACAGTTCACTCGTTAATTTGGCCTAGTACAACAAATCTCATATCCTTTTACTCACAAATTAAATATTGATCTTGTCACTCGACCGAATGTAACAAAGATGAACATCCCAGAAGTCAGTTGTCACTACTCTCACACTTGTCACTCTTTTCAAATGGCCTCATTCACAAAATCATTCGATGTTTTCAAAGATTGCCAAGGTTTGGTGGAGGCGATACGTCAATCGACAATTCAAATGTGACATAACTGATATTCTCAACCATGTGAACTTTTCATCATGAGTTCAATCATCTCCTAGGGTTGGCTCGGTCATGACTTCTCCTTTTGATATTATTCCTCATCGGGGAGTTGACCATGATCTTGTTTTTTCTACGGACCTAGCTTCTTCGACAATTCCCATTTCTCTAACGCGGCCTCACCACAAGGACAAGTGTTGGCATTCTTTTGTCCTTCCACATCTATTTTTCATGCTCAAGTTGACGAAGATCAGCTGTTGAAGATGATACACCCCTGACACGCCGAGTTTGTCAATGTGAAATGACTCCTCCTTCTACGACCCTTTAATTCAATATAGGACCTTCTCTAGATCCCATCTTTAGAAATCTCAAGCCCTTTGCCCCAGCTATTGTTTCAATTTCTACGGCCTCTTCTATGGCCATAGATGAATTGGCTCCACAAGAGCCTTCTTTTGATAACATGGCCACTGATGTAGTCGATGACGTCAAAGTTATGGACCTTGAACTTGAAGAAAGTCTAAGCCCGAGATAAGAACTTCTTGGTTCTCCAGCAGGCCAAAATACCCCCGAGGCCACTGAGACTATTCAAGTTGCGGCCCTAACTTAGGCTGCTACCCCTTCCTCGGTTACTCTTCCTTCACGCGATGCTGACTTATTTTTTTTCTTGGCTTCCTTGAAAGCTCAGCTTTCTTCTGGTCTTGTCTCTTTTCAACAGTCTTAGTATATTATGAAGCGCGAGTTTGAAAAACATTGCGAATGTGCTCGTAGTTACCCTTCCAAGTGCTACGGTGGCTACAACTAAGTGGCTAGACCTTGTTGGTGCTCATAGTGAGGGTTTACCCATGCCCAAGTGCCCCTTCTTCAAATGGAATCTTCGCCAACCCCGTCGAAGGACAAGGGAAAGGGTATGTTGTCGGAGTCCACTAAGGAAAGAAAAGAGCAAAATCCCCAAGCTTCTTGGCCCTCCATGCCAAATGATGAGTAGGAAGCAAGGGCAAGGCTCCTCAATTTCATAGATGACAGCGAGGCAAAAGTTGTATTTAACATGGGGGTTGAATGGATGACGACCATTCTTTCCCAGATCATAGTCAGGGTAAGTTTTTGCAAAATCCTTTTTCCCTTGCTTCTTTTTTTTTGCTCTTTTCCTAGTTTTTTCCTTTCTTATGCAGCTCATCATTCTCTCTACAAGCATCTCTTATACTGTGTTAGGTGATCAAAAGGTTTATAAGGAAGAGTTTCTTCATCTAGAGGAAAGGAGAATATCTTGAAGCTGCACACTAACCTAGTTACTTCCTAGGAGAAACTCCTTCAAGAGATAAAGGAATGTAGAAAGGTAGAAGATCTCTCTTGAATGAAGTATTGGAAGAAAGTAACGGGCTTCCGTAGGCCAAGAATGATCTATAGGGGAAGCTTGCTGCCTCAGAGGTTGTTTCCTTGGAGCTTTACTTGAGAGTGGATAAGGCAGAAAAAGAGAAAGTGACCCTCTCACTCAAGGTCTCCAAGCTCACTACTACTTTGGCAAAGAAAGATGCCAAACTCACTGAGGTCTTGAAGGAAAATGACTTTGAGCTCTCTAAGGCCTTGAAGGAGAAGGACTCTGAGCTCACCGATATGGAGAAAACTGCTAAGAATGATGTCATGAAGGAGTATAAGTACTCCTTCGAGTTCAAGAAGGAGACCCTTTAGTACTTTGACAGTGGCTTTGAGGAGTGTAGAAATCATATCAAGGTTGAATTTTCAAAGTTGTACTTCTCAAAATTTCAATCTGATGATGATCCTACCTTAGTTGTTGGCGAGGAGAAGGGAAAGGAGAAACAAAATGAAGCAGGGGATGAGGCGACCAACAAAGCTCTCGTGGAGGCTAGTGATCAGACATAGGCTGGCTCTAGAGGAGAGGCTAAGGCGTGCCAACTAGCTGGGCAATGCATAAGGCGAACTAACATTCCCATTATTATTTGTTTCTTTTTTCTCTATAAATTTGGTTTTAATAGAAACTTTTTGCCACTTTGCAAAATTACCTTTTCTCTTTATCTTACGGATTGATTCGCCCAAACTTCTGTTAATCGTCTAAATTATTTCGTTTACTTAGTTTGGAGCTAATCAAGACATCCTCGACAGACCCTTAACAGGGGTTGGTGCTAAGATATGAGCCCCACACTATTTTTTGATTGGTCGTTAGATTTTTAGGATTCTCACAAACCTTCTTGACTTGGTCCACACGTATTGGTGATGTCTTAGGCTTCTAATGAACCTCTTAGGTTTAATCTGAGTTAGGCGAGGTGCCTTGAGCTTCTAATGAAACATTTTAGATTCAATTCGAATTAGGAGAGGTGCCTTACACTGCTAGGCAAAGTGGTGGCCAAGCCTTTTTCGAATTGTTTGATAAAGGGTAGGGGTTGACTCCCCATGGTATACTCAATTTTGCATTGCCATGGGAGCTTTCTCAACTGGGAAATTTTTTTATTAAAACTACCTACTATGCTAATCAATGAGCCTTATTATAGTTAAGGAACAAAAAGTAAATACTTAAATAACTTTTTCAAGTGTTCTACATTCCAAGGATAAGACAACTTAACTCTTCCTAGGGTTTCCAGGTGGTAGGTTCTCGGCCTTAGCACTTTTACCACTCAGTATAGTCCTTCCCACATTGATCCTAACTTCCCATCTTTGGGATCTTTGGAAGCTAAGATGACCTTTTTTAAGATTATATCATCTGGTGGGAATCCCCATGGATCGACCCTGGAGTTCTAGTACTTTGTTATCCTACTATGGTATGTTGTGACCCTTATCGATGATTCTTCCCTCTTTTCTTCTAGAAGTCTAAGTTGTAAGCTAGCTGCCGCCCATTTGTAGATGGATTGAATTCCCCAGTCTGATAGGTGGCCAGTTCAATATCGATTAGGCTAATCACTTTCGTGCCAATGGCTAAGGAGTAAGGAGTCTCACATGTGGGGATCCAGACTATGGTTCTTTATGTTCATAGGATACTTGGTAGTTGCTTAAACTACAACCCTTTAAATTGCTCAAGCCTAATCTTGAAGCTTTTGAGCAAGGTTCGGACCGTTACCTCCGTTTCCCATTGGCTTATGGTTTTCCAGGGGAAGAATAGTAGTTATAAATTCCAAGCTTAGAGCATAACCTTTTGAACTTATCATTATCAAATTGCCTTTTATTGTCGCTGATGATAACTGTTGGGATACCAAACCAACAAACGATGGATTTCCATACAAAAACCCATGAATTTTTTGTTTAGTGATCATTGATAGTGGTCCTGCCTTAGACCCAACTAGATAAACAACCATAGGCTCGATAACGAACTAAGCTCCAAGGGGGTAATTCTGGGATAGGAACAAACTTTTGACTTGAACTTCTACATATAGCTCTAAGCATCCTTCTTCATTGTTGGCCAAAAATACCCGTGTCTTAGCACCTTGTGGGCCATGGCATGTCCTCTCAGGTGATTTCCACAAACTCCTTCATGCAACTCCTCGAGCACAGATGCTACTTCACTATGACTCAAGCACCTTAGGTATGGGAGCAAGTGCCCTGTCTTGTAGAGCACCTAGTTGAATATCATCTAGCTAGTCACCCTTCTATAGAGTTTCCTGGCCTCCAAAGCTCCTTATGGGAGAATTTCGTGTTGCAAGTACACAAATATTTCATTGACTAGCTTGGTTTCCTAAGCCACTGGTTGAACATCTATACATTGATTTGCTTGATTTTGGCAAGAACTCGATAGAGATGGTTCTGACCATATTCTTAGAAAAGGTTGAGGTTAGTCGTGGAAATGAATCTGCGTGTGAATTATGTGACTGACCTACCTGGGCAATCTCAAAATGTTTAAACTTTAGCACAAGTTCATTTACAATGGTCAGTTAGGAGCTCATGCGGAGTTCCCTAGCCTAATAGTCTCCTTGCAAATATCTTATCACTAGCTACAAGTCATTGTACACGTGCAGATATTTCACTCCAAATGATTCAGCAAGTTTTAAACCAACAATGAAGGGCCCATATTCAGCTTTATTATTTGAAACTTTGAATCCAAATCGTAGAGCATATTCAACCTTCTCTTCAACTGGAGAAGCGATGATTTGTCCAACTCCTCCTCCAAACAAGTTAGATGATATAATCTTCTTCTTGTAAAGGGATGAGCTTCAATTTCAAAATTTAGTAGATATTGTTAGGATATTTAGTTTGGTATCGAGTTTGAAGCTGAACATGTCTAAGAGTCTTGTGAAGGGTATTAATACTTCAAAGAGTAAAATTGAAGGGTTGGCTAGGAGACTAGGTTGTGATTTGAGTGATTGGCCTTTAAAATGTTTAGGTCTTCCATTAGGAGGTAACCCTTTGTCTCTTAATTTTTGGGATCATGTTGTGGAATGAGTGCAAAAAAGGTTATATGGTTGGATAAAAGGAATGTTCATCTATGGGAGGAAGGCTCACTTTGGTTCCATCATTCTTGGGTAGTATTCCTATGTATTTTTATGTCCGTTTTTAAGACCCCCAAGAAATTGGTGAAGATTTTAGAAAATACAATGAGAGATTTTTTATGAAAATGTAGTGGGGAAGGGAAGAAAGATCATCTGATTAGGTGGGAAGTAGCATCAAGATCTAAACAAAAAAGGGGTTTGTCTATAAGCAATTTAGTTAAGAGGAATATGGCTTTGTTGGGGAAGTGGCATTGGAGGTTTTCGTTGGAACCTAATTCCTTGTGGCATTCTATTATCAAAAGTAAGTATGGAATCCATGCCAATGCATGGGACTCCAATGTGGTGAGTAGAGGCTCATTTCAAAATCCTTGGAAGTTTATTTCTCAAAGTTTGGATGATTTTAGATAGCACATCAAATTGAGGGTTGAAAATGAGGAAAGAGTTCACTTTTGGGAAGATATTTGGATTGGAGAGTCATCTCCTGCTCTTTTGTTTCCAAGATTATTTAGATTATCAATCTCATAATTACCCAGTAGCTAAATCATTTTTTCCTTCTTCTTCGTCTTCTTGGATGGGTGGAATTTAAATTTCTTTCCTTATCTAAATAATTGGGATATTTTGGAGTGCTCTTCACGTTTTCCCTTGTTGGATTCGGTATCATTACACACCTTGATTAGGATAGGAGAATTTGGTCTCTTGATTCATCCAAAAAAATATCTTGCTCTTCTTATTTTGAAAATTTGGAAGGGATGAGTTCCTGTTAAAGTGCAAATGCTTGCTTGGATTATAGCACATGTAAGGGTGAATACTTGTGATTTGTTGCAAAAGAGAAGACCTAACATTTGTATTTCTCCACATTGGTGTGTTTTGTGTAAGTAATGTTGTGAAAGGATTTACTATTTGTTCGTTCATTGTCCCATTGCTACTTTCTTGTGGCATAAGTTTTTCTGGGAGGTGGATTTGGCATGGGTCACACCGCGTTATTGTGTTTCTCTTTTGGTGATGCAATTTGATGGTTTTGAAAATGGGGAAAAAGCTTCAACTTCATGAAAGTGTGCAGTTATGGCTATTTTTTTGGTGGTATAGATTGAGAGGAATCAGAAAATCTTTGATGCTAAGGAGGACGTAAGGAATTTCTTTGGGATATAGTGAAATTTTTGGCATCTTGATTGGTTTGTGGTTACCAATAATTTTCTTGACATTGCTCTATTAGTTCTCCAACATAATTGGAAAGTTGTTGTAGCTCACAGTGACTGTTTACTGGCTTTGTTTTTTGTTTTTTTGGTGGACTTCTTTGCCATCAATTATGTACTTTTATATCTTTCAAAATGAAAGTTTTGTTTCTTATCAAAAAAAAAAAAAATGAGCTGGAAGATCCATCAACATACATCTTCCAAATAGGTTGTTGAAGGTCTTGTTCAACTTTGGCGGGCTCAGTTTCCCCACTCATGAATTCTACAATTAGATCTGCCACCACTTGTCGTTTGACAAAGGTTCGAGGCATATACTATATATCAAATTCTCCTAGCTCGATGGATCACTTAGCCATTCTCCCGAACACGTCTGGCTTCTAGAGGATCTGTCGTAAGGGGACGTCAGTAATAAGCACAATGGTATTCGCTTGAAAATAGGATCTCAATTTTCGGGATGATATAACCAACATAAAGGCTAACTTCTCCATTATGGGATACCTAGCTTTTGCAGCCCTCAACATCTGGCTTATCTAATAAATTGGATGTTGTAGCTTATCTCTTTGACTATTTAAGACTGCACTAATTGCTTCTTGTGACATAGCAAGGTACAAGTACAACTCTTCCCCTTGCTATGGTCTAACCAAGATTGGAGGCTTACTGATGTACTCCTTGAAGGCTTTGAAGGCCTTTTCACACTTTGGGCTCCATTCGAATCCTCCCTCCCTCCTTAGTACTTTAAAGAAAAGAAGGCACTTTTTGATGAGCCCAAAAATAACTAGGTCAAACCCAATTAATCAAGAGAGGTCCACGTCACCTCGGAGCCCAAGTCAACAAGTCAAGGAGGAGCCCAAGCCAAGGGAAAGCCAAAGTCAAGGATGAGTCCAAGGAGGACACCATCAAGGGGATACCCCAATGGGCATCGCCCAAGGGGCTACCCTAAAGGGGCGCCGCCCTAGGGGATCCTTTCCCTCCTTAGTCCCATGCTCTGCGCAACCTTGTGTAGTCTTTCGCCCTCTTGACTTCACCACTCCAATTCAAGTCCAACCCAGCACAGAGGTCCAAC